ACCTGATGGTGATATAACAAAATTTTCTAATCATTTAAAACAAGTATTTTATAAAAATAATGAACAAAAAAAAACTATTTTGTATTGGAGACATTAACATTGATTGCTTACAATACGATAAACATAAACTAAATTTTTTTTTGACGAAATGCTCCAACATTACATCTTCCCAATTATTAATAAGCCGACTCGGATAACTCAATCATCAGTAACGTCAATAGACAATATATTAACAAATACAGTTCTTGATGTTACTTTAAAAGCAGGTATTATAAAAACAGATATATCGGATCATTTTCCGATTTTCTTTTTTCTGTCACACGATACAAAAACTACTAACGACTGTAAAATTGAAATTCATAAAAGGAAAATTAACAAATATGCTATTCAACAATTTAAAGAATCACTATCGGCAATAAACTGGGATAAAGTATACCAAGAATGTAACCTTGGACGCACCAACTCTGTTTACACTAATTTTGAAAACATTTTTTTAAAAAACTATAATAAATATTTCCCAATAAAAGTAATGCTTGTAAAAGAAAAATATCTAAAACGTCCGTGGATCACCAAAGGAATGAAAAAATCTTCAAAAAAAAAAAAAAAAAACTTTATATCAAATACTTAAAAAATAGAAATGAAGCAAACCTAAATGTTTACAAACAATATAAAAATTTGTTTGAAACAATCAAAAAGATTTCAAAAAAGAATTATTACTCAAATAAAATAAAAAACTCCAAAGGTGATATTAAAAAAGGTGGGACGTAATTAAAGAAATAATTGGGAACAAAAATTGCAAACCAAATAGTTTACCTACTAAAGTTGTTATAAATAAGAGTATGTCAGTAGTGACGTAATCTCAGAAAAGTTTAACAATTTTTTCGTTAACATAGGCCCTAACCTGGCTACAAAAATTAATTGTCCAAACAACTCATTTGAGATATACTTAACTAATAACAATGACGAATTAGCATTTAGCGAACTAAAAATTGAAGAACTTGAAGTTGCGATAAAATCTCTTAAAATAAATAAATCTCCAGGTATAGATGATATTTGTAGCAATATCGTTATCGATGTCTTTTTGGAGATACGCAAACCGATCTTCGAAATATTTAAATCATCAATTATAACACGTACTGTACCAGATAAATTGAAAACAGCTAAAATTATACCAATTTTTAAAACAGGCGAAACATCTTTATTAAATAATTACAGACCGATTTCTATACTTCCTACTTTCTCTAAAATACTTGAAAAAATAGTTTACAATAGATTATACGAATATCTCCTTCAAAATAACCTCTTAAACAAAAAACAAATCGGGTTTCAAACAAAACACTCAACCGAACATGCCATTTTAGATCTTGTAAATAGCATGAGTAATTCTTTCGATTTGTATTAGAGACTTTTATAGATTTATCTAAAGCGTTCGACACAGTTAATCACAATATCTTACTTAAAAAAATGGAAAGGTATGGTGTTAAAAATATATCCCTTGACTGGTTCAAAAGTTACCTAAGTAGCAGAAAACAATGCGTTGTTACAGATCATAATAAATATTCAGACCTACTAGAAATAAAATGCGGAGTTCCCCGAGATTCCATTCTGGGTCCCCTTTTATTTCTAATATATATCAACAATCTTCCAAAAGCCCTGAAAAAACTTGATGTAATAATGTTCGCTGATGATACAAATTTATTTTACTCATCGCCGTCTATAAGCGACCTTTACGAATCTATGAACACTGACCTCGAAAACCTCAACATCTGGTTTAAAGTTAATAAATTATCTTTGAATACAGAAAAAACAAAATATATCTTGTTTCACTCCAACCGTCTTAAAAACTTTATACCAGACACTCTACCTTCACTAAAAATTGATAACATAAACATCAAAAGAACTGAAATAACTAAGTTTCTTGGAATAATTATTGACCAGAATAATAATTGGAAAGCCCATATTAATACAATAAACACAAAAATATCAAAAAGTATCGGCGTACTCTACAAGCCAAACCTATGCTTTCCCAAGACAACTTAAAAATTCTCTTCTTTTCTTATATTCAAAGTTACCTAACATACGCTGATATTGCATGGGGAAGTACCCATAAAACTAAATTAAATTCACTCTACATACATCAGAAACATGCATCAAGATTAATTTATAATAAAGATAAATTCACTCATGCCGACCCTTTACTTAAAAATTTGAATGCATTAAACTATCAAATAAATATTTACCAAAATATCTTATTCATGCTAAAATACAAACTCGGACTTGTTCCGAAATACTTTACTGATAGCTTTTTTCATATCAACACAAACAAATATATCACACGAGGAACAGGCAACTTCACCCTGCCTTTAAAAAAAACAAAATTCTCGCGATTTTTTTTAATATACCGTGGCCCATACTTACATAACAAAATAATACTTCAAAATATGGAACTTAATAAAATGGATAACCGTATTGCTCTGAAAAAAAAACTAAAACATATCATAATTAACTTAACCAACTTCATCGAAATGTATTAAACAATTTGTGAAAAATAGTAATAATAAAAAGCCCTACTACTTCTACTATATAGTAGATACCAAAATACTTATGTGTATTTGTTGAACTAGTTCATTAAAGTTTATTTTATGTTTTAAAGGTTCTCGATGAAAAGACTATTTTAGTCTTCTGCGAGTTTCCTTACAACAAAGAAAAATATTTTTTAAGAATAATTTTATATATATATATTCAACAACGTCCACAAGCAAGTCCCTAGTAGCCCTGTGGTACGACGGACTTGTATATATTTTTTAAATGCATGGGTTAGTAGCCAGCACTTTATATTATAAACAACGAATAGTTACCTTATTTTGTACACTGTACAACGCGCATGCGCTAAACAGAATTTTGAATTTCTTTTTTACCACTAAAAAAAATTTTAGTGGTACAAAAATTGTTTAATTGTACGTTTTGTACTTATATGTAAAAATATGTAATTTTGTTTTATTGAAATATATACGGATACTTGTGTTGTAAAAAAAAAAAAAAAAAAAAAACATGGACAAAGTATGCTCGTGCTTATGTCAATTAAGAATTTTTTTGCTAAAATCGATCAAAAAACAGCCTGGGATCAAAAAACAGCCTGGGATCAAAAAAAGCCTCTAAATGCGCAGTATAAAATAAGGCTTCTGCATTTTATATCATGACTTTTAGAAATAACTATCTGTGACGTTTAAAATGTGTAACGTTTCACCAGTAATTTCAAGAAGAAGATAAAACTGAGGTGTTATACAAAATTTTCAAGAAAACATTTAGTAACGTTTTTTTCAATTATCTAAATAAAAATGAACTTTTGCTTCCTGTTTGCGTTAGCAGCTCAACACTGATTGGATAATGGCTCCTATTTGCGTTAGCGGCAAAATTTTATTTGATTAAGACTCATAAAAGTTTGTTTACGTTCTATAATATATTTAATTTATCTCGTTCATTTGACGCTATCTTTGTATTGTCTTTTTTACAGTTTTTAATATTGCTTACTTTGCAACGGTTTATGTAACATTACTGTACGTCTGATGAAGGTCTCAGCTAATAACTTAAATAAATAAAAACAAAAAAAGTACAGTGCTATTATTTATGCTTTACGACATAATTGCTTTACCTATTCAGCCTTTTTCAAGAACAATCAACAAGTCAAACAACTTTCTTACGTTTTTAATGTGCAAAACTGGCATTACCAGTGACTTTTGATAGTCCGATGAGTTATTTGTAGCTATGGAGCAGACATGAATCATAAAAGCTTAATCAAAGATGAACTATCAATAGTTTATTTTAAGCTGAAAAAAATAATTGTAATAGCGCAAAACATTTTTAGATAGAGTTATCATAAACTTGCTAGGCAACGCAAATATATGGTGATGCGAAAAAAAGAGAGCTGTAATTAAGATACACCAATCTGGTTCAGAATCAGCTGAATAAGCTTAGGAAAGATCAGGTAAATGTAAATTATCTGAAATGAGAAAGAAGAAAAGTAAAGCTGTCAAAATAAGGAATAAAAATCATCTAAAGACGTTAAATGCAGTGGTGATGTAGTGGAAGAGCGCTCGCTTTGTACAAAAAAAAGGTGATGGTTAACTTGCAACAAAAAAATTATAAATTATGTCTTCAATGGTAAAAAGGAGTCAACAGAATAAATCAGCATTAAAACTAAGCAAAATAGCAGCAACAACTGATGTAAGTGAGAAAACTGATGTAAGCGAGTTTTGTTGTGTGACCAATTTTCTTTAAATAGTTTAAGATGCAAGTTCAAAATTAAAAGTAAGTGAAATGTTTTAAAATGCTATATAGTATCATTTACATGTAATAGGAAAAAATGTCGTGTTTTAATGACTTAAATAATCTAACAGTTGACCATCTTGCGGATCTTTGAAAAAAAATTGAAGGTGAAGCCGTCGCTTTAATGTTTAGAAATGCGGGTGGGCATCATATCAAGAAATATGCATGCGTATGTGAGCAAGCGTGTTTATTGTAAATAAAATTTTGTATGACTAACATGCATATTTATAAATTGATTTGTCTAAATCATCTTTAAAATTTTATTTATGAAGCTTTTTTAAAGATAGGAAACACCGCGTTATGACTTTATTTCCATTTTCATTGTAACAAAATATTTTACAACAAAAAAATTACGTCCTAAAAAACAGAAAATATATAAAAATATATAATTTTCTTTATATTTATGTTTACATTGATAAATGATATAACTTTAAAGTAGAAAGCATATTTAGAAACTCAAAAATAACAAGAATGACAATGATCGAAATTTTTTATCGATTAAATTTGAAAATGCAATATCAAGGGGAAATTAACGTTGCAAGCATTGAAACAGAATGTCAATGGTTCAAATTTAATACTATACACACGTCATAGTTTTGATGAATGCGAGAATTTGTACGCCATAATGTCAATAAAAAATCTATAAATAGAGCCCAATTAAACATCACTAGCATATAAATTTTGTAGCTCAAATACGAAAGTTACACTATGTTATGTAAAAAAAAGTTATAAACTAAAATACGAAATATTATTATTACAAAACTTTATAAAAACTTTTTGCAGCAAAAGTTTAGATTTAAATGTGGCTAATAAATTGTTTAGCAACAATTTGTTGTGTGGGATTCTCTTTATCATTACGGTAAAAGTTAACATTAATCTAAATTATCATTACTATTATTTTTTTTATAGTTTTTTGTAATTAGAAGACAACTTATTTATGCATATATATTTGTATATTACGCAGCCGATTTCGTTATACCTCAACCATATACTGACATTTATCTCGGATCGCTTTATTCATTTTATTTGAGCGAATCCTAAATAAAAAAGGGGACATTATTTTATAAAAATGTAAACTCTATATTTATTTATTTTTATAAAAAACAAACCATATAATTTAGCTAAATCGAATCCCACCATTTTTCAAATATTGACTGAATATTAATAAATACTTTAGTTTTTTATAATAAACCGAAAAGCATTTTTTATTGATCGATTTGAGCCATTCGGCTGCAGGTTTTTCTCAATACAATATTCAAATTAAAAAAAGTTTTACAACGAATTTTTAAATTCCTTTTAAATTTTTAATATTTCGAATTAAAAATGGTTTTAAAGTCAAGATGTTAGATACATCTTGACTTTAAAACAGTTAATATATCAGTATTAGGGAGCCAACATCATTTGCTTGCATAATACTGATATCTGTCGTATTGTATCTAACTAGACAGCCCTTTCACCTCAAAAATGAGCAAATTAGTAAGATCAATTTTTTAAACCAATAAAGTTCAAAACTTATAACACTTTTAAAAATTTCGAAAACAAAATGATTTCTAAATGCTTTTGAACTTATAATGGTCAGAACTTTTAAATAAAACTTTATGATGACATTTAAAACTCAAGAGTTTTTTGTAGCGGTGAATATTTAAATTTATTAATTATTTAACGCTGGTAATAAGAAAATAAATTTAAAGTCTACCATATATTCATGGTATTTATTTTGAATACAAAACTCAACTATTAAAAATATATTAAATCTTTAGTCTCAACATATAAAAAAAATCCTAATTTCGACCATTTTTATATATAGGGGATGGTGGTGTGTCAAAAGCAATTGGTGTAAATACCAGTATATTTATACCTATAAATGCCAGTATATTTATACTAATAAGACTTTATTTTAAAAAAAATCAGATTCACAAATCAGATGTGTGTATTTATACACACATATATTATATAATATATAATATATGTATACATATATTATATATTATATATATGCATATATAATATATACACATATTATGTGTATATACACACATATATTTATATAACTCAAAATAAATTCTGAGTACTTACGCAAACGTAATTAAATACGTAGAGTTTAACGGATGTTCAACAAAAAAAAATAATTTATTTTTAGTCAAAATCTATTATTGCTAACTACACTGACGTTGTCAAACTGTTTAAACAATAATATTGCATCATTAGATAGATTATGATTTACTTAAACACATAGTGGTAGTCATACATTAAAACAAAAAATAATTCGAAGTAGTGTAAAATCTTTGAATTATTTCTCTTTTCTCTCTATTTGTATTGTTTAGGTATTACAAAATTTGAGAGAGGGTCAATTTTTTTAGTTTTTGCTATATGTTATGTATTAACAAAATACAAAGTAAAACCTCAAACGGGAGACGGTTTATGTTTGAGGTGTTGGATATGGTTTTGTCCTTATCTTATTTAAACGAGTCTCTTTTTCTACTACGCCTAAAAGTGAAGTTCAGCGAGAGCGCTTAAACAAGTATTAAAAAAAGACCGATTCCTGTTTCCTAATAAGTCCACACGCTTTTGGCGTTTACACTTATCAGATTTTTCTCGATCTTCGTTTATTTTTTTTTACGTTTTTTTTAACTGTTGCGCAATAAGGTATTAAACAAACTTAATTAAGTTATTTGAATAAATATTATTTATTTTTTACCCTTCATTTTTAATTCAAAGCTGAATACAGAGTACGCGAGGTTAGAATTATTTTGTTCTTTCTCCATGTTTTTCCGAACCAAGAAAGTCAAGTTCAAAGTTTTAAATGGGCCTGCAGACCAAATAACATACAAAACTCAAACAAAACAGATTTGTATTAATTTCCTACACAGACTACCACAGTTTTAAAAAATTGTATTAAAATATTTAAAGTGCAGGTGTCTGAATTACTACACGTAATACACACTTATTTTATAAAATACAGTGTTATTTTGTTCTATCTCCATTTTCTGTGGAAAAATATAATACAAACTAGTATTTTTTATATATATTATGGCAAGATAATTGTATATTTTGGCAATTAAAGTACTGTGAGCACGGCTGTTTCACTCAATATAAAAGCGAGCCTGACGTCACGAGTTTATCAAAAAAAAAAGTATTTCCGCATAAAAAGTATAAAAATTCATTAACTTTAAAATAAAAGTATTTTTTTTCTATAAATGCTTTCATCTTTAAATAAAAAAAATATAAAAGATCTATCTTTCCTTGTTAAATAAACATTTACATTAAACGGAATAAAAATGAAAGCTGTAAAAATATTGTTAATAATTTGGCATCACTTTTCTGATTTTTGCGATTTTTACGCAAAACCTGTCTTAGGCCAACTAAGATTTGATAACATAGCTACATGGTCGATGGTTGAAATTTAGAACAGTTATTAATGAATGTCTGTTCTATCTAGATTTCCACAGACTTTGCAAGTTTTTATATAGAAAGTTAGTTTTTAATGCATTTATATTTTTGTTTTTATTCGTTTTGAATAAAAAACATAACATTTTTGAAAAGTCTGTGGATTTAGTAATACTTCAACCTTATATGAATAAGAAAATCAAAAAATTATTTTCTGTACCTCTAGCTATGTTATCAAATATGTTTTCAAACTTGGCATGTTTAGCGACATTTTTTTTAGTTTTTTTTGCATAAATTCTTGTTTACATTTTAAAGCGGTGACGCAAACTCTGATCGTTACGTCCCCAACGATTATCGGATGCATTTTAAGAAAACAAACAAAACAAACGAGACACATTTTATAGAATAAATAACAAAGTTTCGCGGATTAATTTTAACCTAACACCATATTATTAGAACTTTATTTTGTAATGTAATGATTTTATCAGCGTTCCAAAATAATTTTCTAAATCAAGAACTTCTATATTAAAAAAAGTACTCATTTAACAACTAATCCCCCCTTATAACGACGTTTTTCATAATTTTGCGAAAAATGTGGTTTGCTTTCACAATTCGATTAAGGCTGTTTTAGTTAACCTTAAATAATTAAGTAAGGTTTTTTTGTTTTCATTATTGTCAAACAATAAGTGTATTTGATAATAACTATTAGGAATATATTTTTCTAATTTTTTTTTGATAAAAAGTAACATCAAATTACAAAAATTTAGCCAAATTCAATATATGTCATATTTATTCTAAACTAAAAGAAGTTTTTATACTAATGCATTAAATGTCATAAGGTAAAACATTTTATTGATGTCTTAATTGTTTTTACAAAACAAAATTACCTCTTATATTTCAAAAGTTATAAAAGTTTTAGTAACACCCTTTTAGTCAATATTTTCAAAAATTAACAAGAAGCCGTTAAGCTCGGTTTGAAACAGCCGTGTGAGGTACATATCTGTTTTATTAGAAAATAAATCTTATATTACACTAGTGAACAAATAATATAAACACGCAATTTTGTCTCAAGTTCAATTCAACAGAGAAGATAAGTATTATATTATCTAAGGTATGTACCAAGATCTTCACAACGAAATAAAACTTTTATTATAAGTTCTAAAAGCATAACATCTAAAATACATTGCACAATAAAAAGATATTTTAAAGAATAATTAGTTAACCAGCACCTCTGGTAAGTACATTAAAAATATACTATTTCAGGAAGAAGCTCATTTAATAACATAACATATAAAACATATATATTTTTACAATACAATAAATTATGGCAAAATACTCTTATACAATGCAATATTTATAGCAGGCATATACTTGAACAGATTTTGAAGGACATTAGCTTTATCATTTGAAATTTGAACGCCCTTATTCAACGCAGAAAACATTAGTACGTCTGCCATGACTAAGATCATAAATTATTAACTCATCCTTTTGAAGAAACATTATAACATGATTTTCTGTAGTATACATGACCTGAATGCTAAAGATATAGGGAACAAGCTTAAAATTAAAAAAGCCTGCAATAGCTAAAAAATGTTTGAAATTCAATTTCTTTATTTGGTAGACAGAATTTTTTTTTTTTTTTTTTGAAGAGCAGGCATTGCTCTGATTAAACCAAGGAGACTAAATATTTCAACAGGAGCGAGTGCTCTATCAATTTGAATGTAGATACTCTCAACTTCTTGTTTAATAGAATTCCTTGGTCTTAAACTTTCGTTAAATTACTCTGATTTTTGGGTAACCTATCACAAACCAAAAATCAACAAATATACGCGTTCATTATTCATCACTGATATATTGTGTGTATTTAAATTTACAAGAATTTAACAGTCTTTTTTTTTTGGTTACAAATTTGCTTGAAACATTTTTTCCTATTCTATTTATATATATATATATATATATATATATATATATATATATATATATATATATATATATATATATATATATATATATATATATATATATATATATATATATATATATATATATATATATTGTTATATATATATTATATATATATATATATTATTGTTCGTCGTGCGAACAATGAAAATAAGCTTATTCGCACGACCGTCGTGCAAATAACGAAAATTAGCTTATTTGCACGACCATTTAAAAAAATAAAAATAGCTTTTAGCACGACTATTATATGCATGTGTATGTATATTACATGTATACATTTACAAATTAATTGAAATTGAGAACAATAACAACAATTCACGATATAAAATTTGTTTAAAATGCACATCCTAATTATTCTGACAGAAAAAGGCAGGCAAGGACCCCTCTTTTCTTACAAAATTTGCATTTAAAGCTGCGCTAGTCAAATTGCTTAAATACATCGTGCTATCCTAGCCCACCTTTAAAACTTTTTGGCGATAGTGGTAGTCTAATGTGGCAGTTAACAGAGAA